AACCACTGAAGCAGCAAATGAAGAGGCTATCCCGCACTATAGCCTGATTTCTGGCTGAAAGAGGGGCAGGCAAGGCCATTGGTAGAAGATGCCCAGGCAGGTCCTCTCCAAATCTTGCCAAAGTTCAAGGCAGCCACTGAGCCGCAGCCCCGAGCTCTGGGAGCACCTGTGCACCATGGCTCTGGCATCCCTTTGGTTCTGAGGCTGGAGTTTCTGGTATGCTGGACTGGGCAGGAGCAGTGGGGTTTTTTGGCAAGAGACAGGACTCCGGAACACAGAGATGGTCTACTGCGGCCAGCTACGGGGCTGCCTTCCAGGGCGTGGCCTGGTTCCCAGGCACTGGGGTTGGGGGTTCTGCATCCCAGGAGAAGCTTGGGGAGGCGTCTGAGAGCGGTATTGGTGGCTCTTCCTCGGGACAGTTGCTAAAGCAGTTGCGTTCTGGGGAAATATGGAGATGTCAACGAGGGACCTATGTCAGGGATCATTTCCTAGGTGTTCTGGCGTCAACTACGGCCTAGGCGCAGGTGGGCAGGTACCACCTAGACCACGGGGCGCAAACGGCAGCGCCCAGATCTGGGTGGGCACGCCTGCACTTGTGCCTGCATCTGGGTCTGCACCTGCGCAGGCTGCCGTCGGGGCTGATCCAGAAGGCGCGAGGGAGCGCGGTGTGGCTGTGCTGCCAGCGTCCGCACTCGCGGCACAGCTGACAGTGTCTGGTGTAGTGGATGGCCCGGCACGACGCTCTATCTTGGTCACGTTTTAAAACCCAGGGAATTTCATGTCGCAGCTCTTGCACTGAGGGTAAGAATCATGGACAAGCCCCTTCTTTCATGGAAGCACAGAACATTCCCTAGTGGTGCTCGGCCTCCATACCGACACTGGTTTGTTGCTCTAGAATCCTTTCCCACTGAACAATCCCTGTGAAAGAGTGTAGTCAGGTTTTGGTCTCTATCCTACAGTCCAGCTCCTCAACTCCTGTCCCATCTCTATCAGCTCCTAGGTTCTGTGTGGGGAAAAAATCAGTCATTTATTGCCAGGAGCATCTTAGCAAATCTAAAAATTTAAATTTTTATGTCTGGAAAAGAGGTTTCTGTCAACTTAGTCCTTAATCAAGTCGAAATGCCTGTGGATACGTGGATTGAGTGAGGAAGGACAATTTCTCTTATAATCACAAATCCAAAACTAAACTCTTGGCCAACCAAGATACCCAACATACCCTATTGCAAACTTTAACTATTTTCATTTTGCTTATGACTGAATTTGTCCTGTGCTTTTATATAATA